AGAACCATCTGCACAATGCAAAAGACACAAATTGAAGAAAAGAACATGTATACCACCTACTCCCTTCTGAACCTACCCAAGTACTACAGGAATCTCCAGAGGCCCTACTTTGGGTGCATCAGCCTTCTGAGATAAGATGGGTGACAACCAGGGAGAGGGCCTTCTTGATAGTGACACCAAAACTCTGGAACTCTCTCCCCAGGGAGATTTGTCTGTTCCCTTCTACTGCCTTCTTCAACCAACAGATGAAGACTTTTTTGCTTTGGTGGGGTTTTTTTTTTTTTTGCATCCCCTCAGTGATCCCTCCTCCCTGCCAAATTTTTAAACTTTTTTATCTTGGTGTATTTTAGCTCTGGTTTTAATTGTTTTAATGATGCAATTTTTTGTTTTTAAGATGTGATTTTGTTATGTATATTTTGTTGGCCACCTTGGTGGCCCTTATGAGTAGGGCTGCCAAGTCCACCCAGGGGGCAGGGAAACCCCCGCCCAGGAGGTCTGTTCCCCGGCAGCGCCGGATCGGGCCCCGGGGGGAACCCCACCCCCAAAGCACGTCACATAAGAACATAAGAGATGCCAATGTTGGATCAGGCCAAAGGCCCATCCAGTCCAACACTCTGTATCACACAGTGGCCAGAAATACCCACAATGTCTATTTTTCCCTCCGACACCAAGCACTCCAACTCCCTGATTTTACCTCGGACACTTCTAGCATTTGTATAGAAACAGCTGTAATTTCCCATACAAGTTAAGCCTGCATCCTTCCTCTTGCTATCTCGAGTCGTTGTCCGGCAGTCCATGTCACCAGCCATGGCCTCTGTGGACAATTTCAATCCACCTCCCTGTAGAAAAGAAACCGGTACCCCCTCACCTCTCTCAGATGAGCCAACCCGAACCAGAGACTTTTCATCTCCTGTCGGCTTTCCCCCAATATTCAGTTTAAAAGCTGCTCTGCCACCTTTTTGATTTTAAGTGCCAGCAGCCTGGTTCCTTCTCGGGACAAGTGGAGACCGTCTCGCCTGTACAGCTCCCTCTTGTTCCAAAAAGTATCCCAGTGCCTAACAAACCTGAACCCTCCCCCCCTACACCATCGTCTCATCCACGCATTGAGACTCCTGATCTCTGCCTGTCTCTCCGGCCCTGCGCGTGGAACAGGTAACACTTCTGAGAAGGCTACCTTGGAGGTCCTGGACCTAAGTTTCCTGCCCAGCAGCCTAAATTTCTCCTCCAGGACCTCACGACTGCATTTCCCCACATCGTTGGTGCCGACATGCACCACGACCACTGGCTCCTCCCCAGCACTATCTACCAGCCTATCTAAAACACGCGTAATGTCCGCTACCTTCGCACCAGGCAGGCAAGTCACCATACGGTCAGTACGCGGGTTCGCCACCCAGCTGTCTACCTGCCTAAGGATCGAATCACCCACTACCAAGAGCCCCCCTCCCACCCTGCTCAGGGATGGTTCCTTGGTGCAAAAGGAGAGCCGCTCACCAGCTGGGGAAGAGGTCCCTTCTGAGGGCACATTCCCCTTATCCTCAGCATGGTGCCCTGTTTCCCCTAGACCCTCATGCTCCCTGACAGCAGCGGGGCTGCCAGATCCAGAGTGGGACGTAGCTAACAAGTCCCCGAGAGTCTTTTCTGTGCGCCTAGCTGACTGTCTCTGCTTCTCCAGGTCAGCCACCTTGGCCTCAAGGGAGCAAACACGTTCCCTGAGAACCAGGAGCTCCTTGCACCGAGCACACACCCAAGACTTCTGTCCAGTGGGCAGATAGTCATACATGTGACACTCCGTGCAAAACACTGGATAGCCCCCAACCCCCTGCTGTCATTCTGGCTTCATAGTTCTTTTAAAATAAGTAAATAGAACCCCCCTTTTAAAACCCTTTGTATTTATGTGGTTTTTCTTGTCAAATCAAATTACTTTACGGGGAAGACAAAGAGCCTAGGGCCTTTGCTTTCTGGCTCTTCTTGGGCTTCTCACAGAGCCCCTAGTCTAAGAGTCCCTAGGCTAAGAGCCACAGGCAAAGAGCCCTTTAGCTCGTGCCTCTGGCAAGGTGCTTTCTTAAATACTGAATTACAGTCAATCACAGTCAAATAATGCCCCTTCCTCTCCACCTCTCAAGCAGCCAGGACTCTGCAACAACTCTAAGCTCTTTCACACACTCCCAGACCAGTCCCAGACCAGTTCTCTCACACAATATCCTCAGCTGAATCCCCTCAGCTGAAAGCAAGTAAAAAAACACTCACCCTCTAGCACCTCTGTCTCCTGCTCCTGCTCAGAACTCAGCTGGGTCTCTATAGCACTGATAAATGGAATGTAACTGACACTTCATCATATAACACTCTTTGTCAAACCAGCCATGTATGGAAGCATTCCTACCAAGCTGTTGTTGTTTTTTGGGGTTCTTTACTACCTGAGAAAGTTGATTCACCACATTATTATACATCAGGAGCCAGTCTGAAATCTGAGGTGAGTTCCCTGCTAAAGATACAAACCTATCTAAGGTATAAGGGTCTAAAAAAAATCACAATCACTTAGGCGGTCTCATCGGACCAGAAGACTCTAGGTAATTTGGTTAACACTTTTTCACTCATCACACTCTGCTGAATGCTCTCCGGTGTAGAACTAGAAAGGTTTAAGGCTAGAGTCAAAGGAAAATTATCGCTTTCAACCCTCTCCAAGACTGAAAAGCCCCTAACCTCATCCTTCAAAATCGGTGAGATTAACATATAATCCACCACGTTACAGCCTCGAACAGAAGCAAACGTAAACTGTCCAAGGTAGTCATAGGGAAGGGAACCATTCAAAATAGTTAAATTAAATCTCACCCCCGGGGTGGTGGCCTTGGAGTCCGAGGGGCAAATTCCACCATTCGGATGTGATGCATGTGTGATGCACCTCCATGCGAGAGGTCATTCTGGCTCCCCCAGGTCTTGTTAGGGGCTCTTTAAAAAGTTATGGCTGCCGGCAGCAGAAACGGCAGCGGCAACGGCGGGGGGGAGGGGCACGAAACGTTCCCTCGCCTCTCTGAGCCCCGGAGTGGTGGCCTTTGAGTCCTAGGGGCCAATTCCACCTCTCGCATGTGGTTTTATTTTGTTTCAGCATAAAAATCATATGAGGCTGCGGTCACATGGAGCATTTGCCGCGGTGACGATACGGATGGTAGGCGGATTTTCCGGGCGCGATCACACCGCAACATCTGGGAAGCGTAGAGCTCCCATGGCTAACCTGAGGCTTCCCGCCAAAGATGCAGAGTAAAAAACTAGTACCTCCGAGGTACTAGTTTCTGGAAACCGTGGGGCAAGGGCGGGCAACTGATCGCGTTTCCACTGGAATCCCATGGCATCCGGCGCCCGCCGATGTTCATTGCAAACAAGGGTTTTTTTTCTCTCCCAAGTCTCCAAAAGCGCCCAATAGCGCATGCGCACAAAGAGCGATCACTAGTGTAATCGCGTGGCATGGCTTCTTTGAGTTTGAGAGAGGGCCACGGGAGGCTGCGATGGGGGGGAGCGGCAGAGGCCAGGCTGAGAGCGGGCTGCGTGTCCCAGGGAGGGAGGGCAGGCTGCTGGCGGGGAGGGGGGATCTGGTGGGTTAATCTTCCCCTCCCCTCCTTGCAAGCGGAACACAAACCCCACCCGGAGTGGGTCGCGCGAGACCCTCCCAGAGGCCGTGGCTCTTTCCTTTCTCATCAGCCGGGCTGCTCTCGGTGGAGGTGCAGGATACTCGTGTGATCGGCATCTCCCCCGACCACGGGATAGGGTTGCCAAGTCTATCTTCGCCGGGAGTGGGGGGCTCCCGGTTGGCGTCTTGTGTGCACGCGCGCGCGCCGCATGCACGTCACCCAGAAGTGACGGGAGGACGCCAGGCATGCTGGGTGCGGGGGCACAGCCATACAAGGGAAAACCATGCCCGTGTCACTTCCGGGGGACGCGCACGTCGGGGTGGAGTTCCCCCGGGACCCGATCCGGCACTGCCGGGGAACGGGCCTCTGGGGCGGGGGGACTTAGGATCCCTACCACGGGACCTTGACCGGGACGTGTGATCCGGCGGCTGCATGTTATTTTCTTCTGGGGCAAACAGCCACGCTTCCCCCCTGCATTTTCCTGCCTGTATGACCGCCACCTGAATTCATTAGGATCCTGCTTTGGAATCATGTTTTTGCGCTGTTGTGGTGCCACGAATCTGTGGATGTGTGATTTTTGTGGTGCTCCCTATAGATTAGCACATGGCCTACAATATGATGGTAGTTTTATTTCGTTTCAGTGTAAAAATCATATGAATTCATGAGGATCCATGTAGATCCGACTTTTACCTTTTTCCCTTTAAGACCAAGTTTTATTCAGGTACAAGCTCTCCCTCCTCTGCGAGGACAGATCTGCACGTCCCCCCCCCAATAGCTAGCAATCCAAAACAGTCCAGTGGAGCCTAAGCAGAGGGTGTTGCCTTCCGGTGATGTCAGGGTGTGTGACATATGCAAATAAGTTATGCTAATAAGCTCCTGCACCTCTTTTTCTACGAAATGAGGAGGTTGAAAAATCGAACATATTAATATGCACTACACTACTTGTATACCTAATGGGTAAAGAATAGTACGTTCCGCATCTGTTAAATAGGCGCGATTGCAGAGAACACATGAGTTCACGGTGCTTCTTTCTGAAGGGGGAGGAGGAGGAGGAAACCCACGCTGATTTCTTGAGTGAATTGCGTACCCGTTGTAGCTTCTTTGAGCCGCTGATTGCAAACCTGGATGCTTTGGAAATGAAGCTTCATGCCTCGTTGTTGTACTACCCGGAGTCATAGAACTCCTTATCTACCCAAGAACATTCTCCCTTACTTACTTTGTTGGTCTTAAAGGTGCCGCTAGACTCAAACTTTGTTCGATACACATCTGTTTATACATCTCGCTCACCTCTCGTCTAGGGTTACTTCCTCTATAGAAACTATAATTCCCAGAAAGCTATTTTCCAAGGTACCCTGCGCATGCGTCTTAGTCGCCGGCAAGGCGAGGGCGGGCTTGGTTTGACCTAGAAGAGGAGAAGATGGCGGCTGCTGTGGGGTTGTCCCAAAAGGTGAGTGGTGGAGAAAGACCTTTGGGGTGCGTGTGTGTAAGTCTCCTTGTCGTAAGGATGGGAACAGGAGCCGGTGGTGGGGAAGAGGACTCCCGTCGAAGGGCTGAGGCGTCATTTTCCTGGTTTTTGAGATTTTAATGCAGAAAACAGGCGTACGTTCCGGTGCTTGCTGGGACTAAGCCGTGTCTGTCTGTGTGACTCTGTAAAGTAAAGGGTTTCCATTAGGGAGGACCCGCAAAGCAAAACCTTCTTCGTTGCTTCCGAAGTCTTTTGCAGCGGCCTCATGTCTTTGCCCCAGATCATTTGACTTCGTTGGTGTTACTTTAGCCCCAGACCCTTTTGTCATTCGAATGTGGGGCTCTTGAAGGAGGCATGTGAAGTTTCTTTCCAAAAGTAGCGTGGTAAACAATAAAGAAGATCCAGGTTTCCAATAAAGATTTTTTTTAAAAAAATCCCGTGTAAATGGAGAAAGATGTAGGAGCTTTTCTGTGTATACCTGTATTTTGTGTATGTTATTTGTAGCCTGCCTTTTTCACTGAGACTCAGAGTCTATTATACAGTGTAAATCAATGCAATACATATATTAAGAAATGTAGTAGGACTAGGAATTATAGAAATTTGAAATGGACAGAGCGTAATTATTAAACATGACATGTTAAACCGTTCAGAACATGGTACTGCATCAGTTGCAATACAGTGTATTTTCCTGGGCCCGTCTGTTGTGATTTAACCCTATTACAAGAATGTTCTTCTGAACAACTCTCTATTTGGTTTGTGAAATACCAAGAGTGTGGGAGCGTTCCTGATCTCTTCAGGCAGGCCATTGTACAGAGCTGGGGTCACTACCGACAGGGTACATCTATGGGCAGTTATTGATCTTGCTGATCTGCAAGGTGGCACCTGCAGAAGACTCTGCTCTGATTACCAAAGTTGTCATGCTGGGATGTAGGCGGAGAGGCAGTACTACAGATATTTGGATCAGAGGCCCTGTGTAATAATCAGTACCTTGAACTGAGTTTGGTAACTGATGGTGTGGTTGCAGAATATATGCATGCTCCACCTAGCTCCCAGTAATAAGCAAGTTGCAGTCTTCTTCATCAAATGATGTCTCCAAATTTATTTCAAGGGGAGTCCGATGTAGAGTGCATTACTAGTCTAGTCTTGATGCTGCAATGATATGGATCCAGGTGGCCAGAGCTGTCAATGGATGGTTGTTTTCTAGTTTCCAAAATAAGTTTGGAAAAAAGCATTTTTGTGTGTCTGCATTAACTTGTTTCTCCAGTGGTAATGCTAGGTCCAATATAACCCCTGGGCTCTTGGCAGAGTCAGCAAGGGTTGGTGGAGCCCTATCAAAAATGGGAAGCATGGTATCATTTAAGACTTCTTGCTCCCCAGCCAGCATTACTTCTGCCTTGTCTGGGCTCAGTTTATTATATAATGGATACTTGTGTACACAGGCTGCAGCTTGTTTATGGGGAGAGAGACTGGATATGTTATATTTTTGGTGAGCCACTGGCCAAGTCAAAATGATAAGCAAAATAACAATTTTCTATTGGTCTGATGGTTCTGTCTGGCCCAGCAGTGATGGTGGAGGCCACAGATAATTTCTGTCACTTCTACTTATTGTCCAGTTACAGCTGTTGGAGCAGAAACTGCTCAGCATCCCCCAGTATTTTGCTGAAATTGGCATTTTTCGATGTCCTGATGTCACTGTTGTCTTGAATAGAAGCTGCCATCCAGAATGGTGTGAACTAGAGTTGCCACTAGCCCTGTAGAAAAATGCTATTTCCCTTTAATGGACAATTAGTATGTATGTATTTGTTTATATGAGCTGCAGGAGTGTTTCATGTAATGGAGGTAAGTAGCATCACCTGGTAAATAACATCCCACTGAGCTTCTATTGAAGGGGCAGAATTTTTTCCAATGCATTTGTCAACTCTACTAATATGAACCACCACAATTCGAGTTTATAAACATGTAATGTGTGGTGCTACTGTGTCTGACTTCTAAATTTTATTTTAGATTTTCAGGCCTTGATTCCTGGCCTTTGGTTAGTACTCTCTACCTCATATTGCTTCTTAAATTATTCATTTTAAGAAGATTACTAAAATATAGAAGAAGCTAGACCCATTTGAACGGCTGAGAAAATCTATCACAGATGCATAGAATTTCGCAGCTAAAAGAGTGATAGGTCTGCTATTGTCTTCTAATAAAAGAGGTAATGTCCCCATATGATCTATATTTTGGAGAAAATGAAGAATTAAAATATTTCTAGGCTCAGAAAAATGATCGCATTTAAAGGTCGCATGATACAGCTTTATCTACACTATCTGCCCCACAGTTTACTATCAGAGTACGGTATCTTAAGATACCTCCCATGCAAAACTTTAGATCATAGGGCATTAAGGCACATCTTATAGTGAGGAACAGTCAGATATGAGCAGTAATCGGGGAGCTCTCCAGATGGAAGAATGCCAACAAATTGAGTAGAATAAACATGTCGTGCTCTACAGATTGTGCTGTTATAATTGTACTTAAATAGACATTTCTTAATCATTCCTCTGGTATCCTGTCTGATAACTGAATAAAGGGAATCCAAGGAAAGATGGAGGAACTGTAGTCATTGCTTAACAAGTTTATCCCAATGGGAAACTAAGCTGAGGTAGCCCTCTTGGATGTCAGGGTGTATAATTTTAACTTTAAGAGAAAAAGCCTTCAACCAGGCCTGAGCTTCAAGACATGGTTGTCCCAATTCAGCTCGAAGGGCTACCCCCACTACACAATTCAGAATTCCACAGATGGAATGTAGGAATTTAAGAAGAATTGAATTGGAGGACCCCCCTATTTTGTCAATCCAGATACCAGCCCCATATAAACTTTGCATGGCCACCTTGGCATTAAACAGTTTGATGGCGGCTGGGATATATTGAGCCCCAGATGAATAAAGGAAACAAGAAATGATATTTGATGCGACTGCAGACAGTCTTTTACATGAGCAGCTTGCACTGACCAAGTTAAGCTCTGGTCAAATCAGACCCCTAAGTATTTAAAACGGGACCGGCTCAGTATCATTACCATGAATTTTCCACTTGTGGTGTAAATTAGATTTCCCCCCAAAACCCAACAATCTTGGATTTTTGATAGTTAAGTATGAGGTGTTCTTTCAAACAGTAAGAGACAAAAGCCTCTAACAAAGAAGACAATGTTGTCCTTGATAGGAGAACTGCATCATCAGCAAAAAGTAGGATAGAAACTTTAATGTTAACAATGAATGGACAATAACAGTCCTGGGCCAGAGAGAGCAGGAATCATATCATTGATATATAAATTAAACAGTGAAGAGGCCAGCACTCACCCGTAACACACTCCCTGCTGTAGGGATAAAGTTGTCCGTCTAACCTGTAGCAGACTTGTGCTGTGGGATTATATTAGTTGCAATCTTAGAAATACTTTAAAATAACAAAGAATGAAACAGTCACCTGCCCTTGAATTACTTTACAGGGTGGATAAAAATCAATGATTAAAAAAACCCAAACACATGATTTTTTAAAATTTAAATTGTTTTTTTTAAAATGAAATGCCTTTTGAGGAAAAATCTATCTAAAGATAGTTTTCTATTTAAGATACATTATGGTCCAAAGGTTATTCATCATGAAATAAGGATTAGTTTTTAATTATGTAGCATGGGGCTGTATATTCGTGCAGTGTTGAAATTTTTTGGTAAATGAGTTCCATTAATCCATTCACAATGTCATGCTCTTCCAGAGGTTTCTGTAAGATTATTGGGCAGTTTTTCTATCTAGAAGCTATTATCATAGATGCTTGGTTTTACAGTTCTAAAAACTGAATTTGTGTCTGCCGAGATCACATGGCTCTTCTTCACAGCAAAAACGTTATAAAATAAATGTACAGAGTTGAGAAAAAGACCTTAATCCCATCGTTCCTTTGTGAATCTATGTACACAGGATCAACCCCTTACCTCTTAAGTGCTAAGTTTCAAAAAATCAAATGAACAGAAGTTTGATGGGAGTGGAATAGATCTGCCTTACCTTACTGATGGCAGCCTTTACTGTTTTGCTGAAAAATACTTGGACTATAGCTTTGTGGCACCTGTCCAGAGGAAGTGTGAGGTGTTGTAAATTGATTTGCTGGTATTACTAGGAAGGAGACCTCTGCCAACATGAGAATGTGTGTTCTGGTATAGGAGAAATTGGCTTCCTGGTGTTTACACTGTGTAAGTAAAAAAAAACCCCATACCCCCAGAACCTACCTACTTAGAAGATTAGTAGAAGCCAATATGCTAGAATGCTCTGCTCAGAAGGGGGGGGGGGGCTGATTTCTGCTGGAGCTCAGGTTTGAAACAGTCTCTCCTGCCTCCCAAACATTGCTTGAAACATTAACTGAAATCATAATTTGGTTTTTGTTTAATTTTGCATTCAGTTCAATAAGTTGCAAATGAAAAACTAATGATTGGACTACCTAAAAGCCCATCTGTATTATTTGAGTATGACGGGTAAATTCTTGATTGTCTAATATTTCTTGTTGTTAAGTAAGGAAATTATTGTTAATACTTATTTCTTTTTGTCATGTGTTTGGAAACGGTAATGTGCATGTGATTGTATTTGCCTGCATACATTTTTGAATCTTTTGCCCAGTTGACGGGGCTGCTAAAATGTCATATCCGGTCCCAGAATCCAATACATTTTTGTCCTGCCCTTCCTTCAAGGATCCCAGAGCGGTACATGTTTTTTCTTCCTCATTTTACTCTTTCAGTAAGCCTATGAGTGACTTTCAGAATTCCTTTGCTAGTTGGGCTTTGATGTCTGAAAATTGCATGGAAATAGGTGTATTATCCCCTCTCTCATTTATTATTAGAAAATTGAAATTGTGAATTTCTTTTCATAGGTGCGTCACTTCAGCACCTCTTTGGTCAGGCCAGCATCAAGGTTGGTGCAGGTACGTTTGCTTAACATTTTTAAAAATTATATTGACAGATTGCTCCAAAAATTTTAAATTCCGTTTACATAGAGAAGCTATAGGATGGGAATTTGGACCTGTAACTTAGTTTATATATGTGTCTATACATGGGGTACTGTAACTACTTAGGAAGCTATGGCTGAAATGCGCTTGATGTATATGAACACATTATGTATGTCAGTAATCCTGGGTGTACATTCTGAAAAAGCAAATGCATTTTGTATTATAACCATTGCCTAACTGGAGATTGTTGATTACCTAGGCCAGATTACCTAGGCCAGGATCCAAAGAGCTACAACATGGGTCCCCAACCTTTTTGGGCCTGAAGAAGACACCTTTGAAATTTTGAGAGAGGGTGGTGAGCACCACCCTGAAATGGCTTGTGCAGGAAGCAGAGCCAAATAACAGTTCTTCCTTCCTCACTTTGTCAAAGAATCACAGAAGGAAAGCCTGATGAAAGGAGGAAAGGAGAAAGAGAAGGGGGGGGGATAAAAAAAGGAGAGCTTGAAGGATGGGATGGATCCACAAGCCTGGGTGCCTAGCAGTCCTTCTGATCTTCCAGTGGATGCAGCTGCTATTGCAGCTGTGGAAAATGCTTCCATCTGAGTGGGGGCCAGTAACAAGCCCTGCCTTACAAACAGCCGCGGCCACTTTCTGGAAAACTCAGTAGGCACCAGGGGAAGTTGTGGCAGGTGCTGTGGCATCCATGGGTGCAACACTGGGGAACCCTGAACTGTTACAATGATTCTGCAGATCTAAGAAGGATTTAAGTCTCTGTTTCTAAGACAGCAACCCCTGCCACAGAGGAAACTGCTCTTGAAAATGGTGGGCTTGGAAAGAATTTTGTAATGTGGAGTAGATAGATCTGCTTTTCAAAGGAAAAAGAATTTTGTAATGTGGAGTAGATAGATAGATCTGCTTTTCAAAGGGAAAAAAATTAAATCCCTGTTATTAGACCATCTGTAATCTATCTTTCCTCAAAAAGGGCCCAAGGCAGCTATGAATCTGTTGTGCATTCACTTCAGGATCCCCAGAGAGGCATAACCTGTAATAATTGACCATGTATAGAAATCTATGGGAAGTTTCCTTTTTAACCATACAGTCACTCACTACAGAAAACCAGTTTCTTGTGCACTTGCTGCTGCTATGAAGTGAATTATACTGGCTACCACATATTGCACAGTCCTGAATGGCATACTGGTAAACCACAGATACATTCCTGTTGGATCAGATAATACTGGACTAAGTGTTCATTGTCTGGTCCTTAACTGTTCTGGTGTTCTGCATATGCATTGTTCCTTTGTAAATAAAAACCTGTCAGTGGACAATGGGATTCTAACAAAAACAAAAGCACCATGCAATACTGAAGTTGGCCTGCCTATGTTGGTTTTATGTCTGTATCTCATTGACTTGAGGCTGCAGCGTGCTGATATTTTGGAAACAATCCAGCATCTTCATTGTCGTATGCATTATTTTTGACATTTACTGTTTTGTATTCTTTGCCTGATTTTTTCCCCCCATGAAGCCCCCCATCCAAGTGTATGGACTGGAAGGCCGATATGCCACTGCACTCTATTCTGCTGCTTCTAAGCAGAAGAAGTTGGATCAGATTGAAAAAGAGCTGAGTCGAGTATTGGTAATAAGATTTTTTACATACACTTATTACACCCCCTTAGTATTTATTTCCATTGAAAATGTTGGTTCATTTGGGAAAGATCCTGTGTAGATACTATTTTTTTGCCATCAAGTTACGTCTGACTTATGGTGACTCTTATGGCGTTTTCAAGGAAAGAGGCAGCTAAGAGGTGGTGTGCCATGGCCTGTCTCTGCATCATGACCCTGGACTTCCTTGGTGGTCTCCCATCCAAATACTAACCAGGGCTGGCCCTGCTTAGCCTCTGAGATCTGATGAGGTCAGGCTAGCCTGGGTATCCAGGTCAGGGTGCTACACTAATAATAAACCAACATTCTCTGTTCTTTAATACACTTTCACATATGTTCTGAAAACATTAATTGTACAGTTTGTTGGTAAATTAATATATTGGAGATTTAAAATCAGTTTTTTCAGATAATTTTTAGAGTATTTTCTTTGAATACATGTAAATTGGTGTGAGTCATTCAGGTAATATTAAAGATGCTTTCTGAACATTATTTTGTTTATGATACATATGTTAATTGCCATATCATTAAATAACCCCTTACCTTTGGGATACTTTTAAAACTAAACTGCACTGTGAATAGTTTTGATTTTTAGAACTAACTGAAAGCCATTTCTAATTTTGACTGTAATATTTCTGTTGCTCCTTTTGCAGGCACTTATTAGGGACCCTAAATTGTCTGGTACTGTCATGAACCCTCACATAAAGCGCACAGTAAAGCAAAAGGCTGTAAATGATGCTTTAGTTAAAGAGAAACTGTCTCCTGTCACTGTCAACTTCGTCAGTAAGTAGTCTTCTTTCTGGATACTACTAGTCTTGTTGTGTCAACTTGTTATTGAAAGCACAGCATTTCCTTGTTCTTTAATAGTCACGGTTCTAAAAGTTATCTTTATAATTTCTCATTTGTTGTACTTACTTTCTGTACAGGTTTTATATAAAATGCTGGTAATCCTTTAATCTTTTCTTTAAGATGTGCTTGCTGAAAATGGTCGTTTACGTTACACCCCAGGTGTAATTTCCGCATTTGGTAAGATCATGAGTGCATACCGTGGGGAAGTGCTGTGTTCTGTTACCACTGCCCAGGTAAGCTAATGGCACTGAAGACTCTCCTTAGCTATTTCTGTGTTGTCCAGTGGCTCCTCCTGTGATGAAAACAAACAAACAGAAGAGCCCTACATCTGCCAAGAGAATGGTATTTTATTCATAAACGCCTGAGGGATTGCTGTGAGGTAGCTACTAAAAAGGTAAAAAGAGCCACAGCAGTCATGGCAGAGTGTACCTTTGTTTTTTTTACTTTGGTTTGCTTGGCCCATTCAGTCAGACTTAATCTCTGTGAACAGCCAGCAAACATTTCTTCTTCTGGTACCTTTGCCTGCCCTCCTCCTTGTAGACAGGAGAATGTTCCACATTCTGGGATAACGGTAGTCCCTCACACACCTGCTGATGGTGGTTGAGTCCCTTTGCTCTGAATGGAGCATGGATTCTCCATGAATTAGTATTCCAATTCCGAACAAGCATACTAGACCCTTTAAATAAGTCAAGCAGTCTGTTTCATTTTTGCAAAGAAAGGTGCAAAGCTCTCCTTGCTCTTCTGTTGACATTTCATGCAGTGAGGAGAGATGCTAGTTAAGATGGGGATAATCTCACCTTGTCTCATGTTTGCAGTGTTGGGATTCATGAAGGTTTCTTTTTATCCTTCTTGGAGTACCGCACATTAACTGGCATGATAAAGGTGCCTCTTTTATAGCTTATCTGGTAAGAGTCCCTCTTCTGTACTGAGAACATGGTTGTCAGTATCTTGCACATCTTAAAAAAAATTGCACTTAGAAAAAGCCACAGATTAAAAGAGTTACTTATTCACATTCTGTTTACTAAAGGTTATTTTCAATGTATGTAGTTAATATCAGGATACTATGTCTGGCGGGTTAGCCTTGCTGTTTCTAAACAAATACCAACAGTTTTCATCTGTTGTGTGTTACACCTGAAAAACTAAACATTTGCCTTTCCATTGTACCTTTTTATTTAACTTAGAAACCTCTCTCTCCCCCTACCCCTGTTTCACTTTTGGTTTTGGCCTGCATTTTGTAGCCCTTGGATGACACTAGTCTTACTGAATTGAAAACAGCTTTGAACGGCTTTTTGGCTAAAGGAGAAGTACTGAAACTGGAGGTCAAGGTATGGCAGCAGTTCTGTCTTAGCAAGCTACCTGAAATTAAAACTTTGAAAATATAACTAATAAAAAGTTGGCAGTTCATCTTTCTAGTCTTGTTTGCCATGGGGACAAATAGATCAGTAGGGAAGAAAATGGATAATAAAATTGGCATTCTAGTTACTGGATCATTAAAGTCTTTGGCGGCTGAAGAGAGAATTTTTTCAACCTGGACAACATATGCAGCCAATATAAACAGAATACATTTTATTGTCCCCCCTATACCCTAGCATGGAGCTGCAGTGGCTCAAGTGGTTAAGACGCTGAACTGCAGGCTGTGGAAGGTCGGTAGTTCGGCAGTTCGAGACCCGAGTGTGCCGCATGACGGAGTGAGCTCCCGTCTCTAGTTCCAGCTCCTGCCAACCTAGCAGTTCGAAAGCAAGAAATTGCAAGTAGATAAATAGGTACCACTGCAGTGGGAAGGTAACAGCGTTCTGTGTGCCTTGGTGTTTAGTCATGCCGGCCACATGACCACGGAAATGTCTTCGGCCAGCGCTGGCTCTTCAGCTTTGAAACGGAGATGAGCACCGCAACCCTAGAGTCGGATTCGACTGGCTTTCGAGCAAGGGAACCTTTACCTTTTTTTATACCCTAGCATACTCAGATAACTCTTGTTACAAGAGCCGTTATTAAACCAGTCATACTGAGTTCAGGACAGCTAACAAAAATGGCCATATACACATATACTCCATCTATATCTGTGTTGTAAAATGTATTTGATAATATTGATCAGACAACCAAAATGCAAACATGCTAGGCTTTTCCTTCTGTAACATAGGAGACTGATGTGAGTATCCTTCTTGATTTTTTCCTAGACTGACCCAACAATCTTGGGAGGAATGATTGTCAGCATTGGGGATAAATATGTGGATATGTCTACGAAGTCCAAGGTTCAGAAACTGACTAAGATAATGAGAGAGGCTGTCTAGTGTTCATCACAAGATGTTTTTCATGAAACTTACTCAGTTGTTAAGGAAAAACAATAAAAATGATTCTTTAAGAAATGGTGATTTGGGCGACACTTTATTTGATACCTAGAAAAGACCAGTGTTTCATTAAAACAAATCCCAAAATGGCTACTTAAAAAAAAATTCCATTCGGTAGGTCTGCTTTCCATATGCTATTCCATATATTGTAAAATTGGTAATAATGTGTATATAGGAATTCCATTCTTTGTTTGACTGTGAGGAACCCGTCTTCAGACTGTCTGATTCTTGCATTATGGGCCACCACAGCGTTGAAACTATACTTTCTTATCATTAAAATGGACCTTTAGATGTAGAACCTTACCATGTGAAAGATGCATGGGACTGACTCTGTGAGGTAGCAGGGCCCCGCTCCAGTGATGGAGTGTCTGGAACAAGGGAATAAACAGGTAAATTTAGCAGATGTGCAAGTTCAGCAGCAGCGTGAGAAAGCCAGGACATTAGTCTCTCCATGTCCCTAAAAGGGTAAGCAGACTTTCCACAAACAAATCTACATAAATAGGAAATTTATGAAAAAGGAGATTTTTTAAAAAAGCAGTTATGAAGGCAGAATGCCAGCAGGGTATTGCACTAAGTGCAACATATGACTGTCTGCCAGTTGGGCAGAAGTCACGGGTGTGTGCCCAGTGCCAGGAGTTCCTGGTTCTCTCAGGGAATGAGCTCGCACCCTCTTGAGGTCAGGGTGGCTGACCCGGGGAAGCAGAGGCAGTCAGGCGCACGGAGGAGACTGTTGGGGACTAGTTAGATGCGTCCTACTCTGAGAATGGCAGCCCCGCCGCTGTCGGGGAGCATCAGGGTCAAGGGCAATGGCACCATGCTGCTGAAAAGGGGGAATGTCCCCTCAGAAGTGACCTCTTCTACAGCTGGTGAATAAGTATTCTTTCACACGAAGGAACCATCCCAGGGCAGGCAGGGAGGGAGGGGGGGGGCTCTTGGTAGTTGGTGGATGTAGATAGATGGGTTGCGACTTCCTGCCTGGTGTGAAAGTAGCAGACATTACGCATGGTCTAGATAGGTTGGTAGACAGTGCTGCGGAGGAGACAGTGGCCGTGGTACATGTTGGTACCAACAATGTGGGGAAGTGTAGTTGCGTTGTCCTGGAGAAAAATTTAGGCTGCTAGGAAGGAGACTAAAGGCCAAGACGTCCAAGGTAGCCTTCTCAGAAGTGCTGCCTATTCCACGTGCAGGGCCAACTAAACAGGCATGAATTAGGAGTCTTAGTGTGTGGTTGAAATGATGGTGTAGGCAGGAAGGGTTTAAGTTTGTTAGACACTTGGATGCTTTTTGGAGCAAGCAGGGCTTTTTCAAAAGAGGCAGCCTCCATTTGTCCTGAGAAGGAACCAGGCTGCTGGCACTTAAAATCAAAAAGGTGGCAGAGCAGTTTTTAAACTAAATCTTGGGGGAAAGCTGACAGGTGAGGAAATGTCTCTGGTTCAGGATGGCTCATCTCAAAGAGATGAACGGGGTAGCTGTTACTATTCTAACTACCACTAACAAACATCAAACATATAACAGGAGGCTTATTCCGTATTCTGTTCTTCAATTATCTATTTGTTACATTTCTAATCTCATTATCTATTTTACTAGCTTATCTTTTCTGCATACTCAAATTTCCATCAAGTTATTACGCTTATATTATACCAGTCATAAAATCTCTTCCAAGTTTTTTGATAAGTCCATTCTGTTCCAGCTCTCATCTCCAATGTCAATTTATCATTCTCAGCTGTTTCAAACAGCTTATTCACATATTCTTGTTTTGTTGGAATCTCCATTGTTTTCCAATATTTAGCATATAGAATCCTTGCAGCTGTCGACAAGTGAACAATCAAATACCTATCTGCTTTATCAAAGTCTTTTGGAAATATATTCAATAACAATATCTCTGGAGTAAATGGGACCTTAGTTCTTATTATTTTTTGCATTATATCATGTACCCATCTCCAAAACCTTTTTGTAACATCACATAGCCACCACATATGATAAAATGAAATGGGTTAGGACTGGTCACTGAGAGGTGACAAACAGTATTGACTGCTTGACAAGGTCTAGAGGCCACAGTAGGAAGGATGCAGGCCTAATGTGTCTGGGGAATTATAGATCTTTATATACAAATGCTAGAAGTTTTCGAGGTAAAATGGGGGAGTTGGGATGCTTAGTGTCAGAGGAGAACATAGACATTTCATGGGCATTTCAGAAACTTGGTGGAATGAGGATAACCAGTGGGATACAGCTCCATCCATTCCTTCTCAAACGTGGGGGCAACAGTATAGCATCCTCTTCTTTGAGATGGTGCAATTAGCTGTGCAGTGTATGTCCTCTGTCCCCAGACCAGAGAAATACATCCCAATCTACCATTCCAAATGACATTACAATCTACTATTCCAGTCCACTATTCCAAATAAGAAATAAAGAGGATGTATAGGCCTTCTGCGCGATGGAGTGCAATAGCAGGGTCTCTGTTAATTAATCTCAGCATTCCACAGTCAAGAAGGGTACGTCTGCCCATGAAACTCTGATTTTGATATATTTATTTCTTTAACTATGTTCCCCCCCCAGAATTAAACCCAAACTAATGAACTAAGCTTTTTATTCCTGTTTGGTCCTTACATGTGTTAAACACCATTATTATGCTGTATGCTAATTTGCTGCTCACCTTCTACCTATATGTATGGACTAGTAACTTCCATTTCAATGTAAAAGAAGAGGAGATTGGATTTGTACCCCACCCTTCACTCGGAGTCTCAGAATGGTTTGCAGTCTCATTTCCCTCACAGACCCTGTGAGGTGGGTGGGGCTGAAAGACCTCTTGAGAGAACAGCTCTGAAAGAACTTGTGACTGACCCAAGGTCACACCAGCAGCTGCATGTGAAGAAGTAGCGAATCAAACCTGGTTGTCCCAGATTAGAGTCTGTGCTCTTAACCACTATACCATACTGGCTCTCCAAACTGTATCTGAAGAAGTGTGCATGCACATGAAAGCTTATACCATGATAAAACTTTGTTAGTCTTAAAGTTGCTGCTGGGCTCAAACTTTGTTCCAGTGTGTAATTCAATTATTGGTTGGGGTGTG